TGGGATCTCACTCGTGGAGATCTTTCATTTAGGTGTTGTTGTTGTTGTTGTTGTTGTTTTCCAGAATGTCTTGGCTTTCCGTGCCTGAAATACTCTCATGGGCTTTTTAGCCAGATCCGCATGCCCTAAGGGCTGATTCTGAGGCCAGAGTGCTGTTTAGGATGTCTGCCATTCTATGGGTCTGCTGTGTATCTCGCTTCCCATGTTGGATCGTTCTCTCCCTTTTTTATTCTATCAGCTAGTATTTGCAGACACTAGTCTTCTTTATGTGCTCCCTTTGGCTCTTAGTCCTATCATTATGATCAATTGTGAACAGAAATTGATCACTGGGACTAGTGCATTACTTTGTATTTTTTTTTAATTCATTTTTAGGAAAGTTTCAGCATTTTGGACTCTGGTATTTACCGTATCATTAGCAGTAGAAGAGGCAGTCAGTCAGATGAAGACTCTTGCTCCCTTCACAGCCAAACCCTCTCAGAAGAAGAGAGACTTAAAGAATTCGCCTCACATCAGGAGGAGGAGCAGCCGCCGGATCAGTGCTGTGGCTCCCAGGGACATGAAGGTGCTGACTCTGTCTGGGGTGGTTGCTGACGTGAAGCGGTTATTCTCTGAGTTCTTGTTACAAGGATTGGCTTGTGCATAGGGTTTCTATAAGGTGTTGACAATTTTTAACCTGCCGTAGACTTTCCATCCAGGTCCGTGGATCTGCTCCCCACTAGAAGAGTAGGCTTATGCCTATTTTTTCACCCCTCATGTTTGGGCTAACGTTAATAAAGTGCCTACTTTCAATCATGCATCAAAATGCTGGAAAATTTAAGGTAGAAGTGAGCAGATTTTATTTTGACTAACCAAATTATTTTCCATCAGGAATGAGAAATTGCTACAGTTTTGGGGGCCAATGCCTTCCATTTTCAATTTGAGTATTCCTGTGACTGGACTGTTGAGAAGAGATTAATAAAGCCTTTAAACTTCTTTTTTGACTTATGGGGATTGAGGGTCAGTAGGCCAATGCAGGTACCTCCCTAAGTGTTGTATGTGGACCATCCCGTGCATCTTGTAAACTGAGTTCTGCCCATTTTGTATCTGAGTCAGTTGTGATTTTGGTATTGAAGCGTTCATTTCCTTTAATTTATTCATCTCAGAATTTCTATAAGATTAAAAAGCTGCTCATGTGATTAGATTTTGTTTCTTTCTGCCCCGATTCCATTCGTTAGACAATGTTTCTCATGTTCCAGTGACGTGTGCGACAGATAAGAACGAAACTTTCCTCCCCTTCGGCATTCCATTATCATTTCGTTCTCCATCTCCTCTTGTGTCTCTTCAGGCTGTCAAAGAAAGGTAAAACAGTTAGTGTTTATTTAATTCCAGTTCTACTGTAACTTCCGTTGTCATATTAGGCTCCTTGTACTGAGAATGGAGACACTGTAAATGAGAAAAAAATAAAAGGTCCCTAAGTGATTTCTTCTAAAGCCTGTTAACTAAATAGTTAACTTGGTTTCTCATATAGCCTGAGAACTGCTAACTTCTCATTTCAACCTTGAGGCATTTAGCTTCCTTTTGTTTGTGCAGCTGGGATTTTGAGTTGATACAGATGTGAATTTTTTCCCCCTCCAGACAGAACTGAAATTTTTAAATCTGTTTTTCCTTATCCCTGAAGGGAACATTTTTCCCATATCATTAATTGTTTCTTGATCCTTTTCTGTTTGGGTTCAGAATTGGAGACTTTTCAGAATTCTTTTTTTCCTCCTCTATGAGACCAAGATTGGCATTTGAGTTTGAGAGAGAAGACTTTGTATAGCTACTTAACTGCTTATCTGAGTCTTACTGGACACAAACTGTGCTTATTAAGAAGGGTGTATTGTGACTGCTGGGCAGTTGAGTGTCATGAAGAAATTCTGTTATTCTCTGCCCAGAAGGGGCTGATGATCACATGGCTTACTCTGCATAAACGACAGAAACATTATAGATATAACGAGTGTGGAAGGAATTTTCTTTCTTTTTTTTTTTTAAAGATTTATTAATATATTTGAAAGTCAGAATCACAGAGACAGAGGGAGAGACAGAAAGGGAGAGAGAGAGAGAGACAGCGAGATCTCCTATCTGCTGGTTCACTCCCCAAATGGCCACAGGAGCCAGGAGCTTCGTCTGGGTCTCCCATGTGAGTTCAGGAGCCCAAGTACTTGGGCTGCCATCTGCTGCTTTCCCAGGCCATTTGCAGGGAGCTGGATCAGAAGTGGAACAACCAGGACTTGAGCCAGCACCCATATAGGATGCTGGCATTGCAGGTGGCGGCTTAACTCACTACGCCACAGTGTCAGCACAAGACATTTTCTTTAGCTTTGAAACATTGGTTTTTCAGGGCAATTAAGTAAATTATACTGAATTATTATAATATAAGTTTTACTTGGGACTTAGGTGAAATATATACATATCGTTGACTGGAGAAGTTGCTGTAAACAGAATGTTTCTTTATATTAAGTCCAAAATGCCTTCCTAGAACTTATAGGAACATAAAAATCTCAGGTACTGAATTTTTCATTCTTGGCTGTAATGAGATTTTTTTTTCATGTTAACATTTTGGTATTTGCCTTCCAGTGTTTCTACCTTTGTGCGTAAAACTACTGAGAAGATTGGTACCCTTCATACGAGCCCTGACCTGAAAGTGAGACCAGAACCCAGAGGTGAAGAGCAATCTTGTGAAGAGGATGTGAGTTCAGTTTCCTGCCCAAAGGAGGAAGACACTGAGTAAGCTCTTGTGTTAAATCTGTGTGAATTCTAGAGGAGTCAGCTGTCAGTTTGAAGAAAGCCACGGACTGCGTTCTGTTGGAGAAGGCACGTGTGTGATCCTGCTCACTGAAGATAGTGCAGCTCAGAAAAAACTTCTGATGTCACAGTCTTGAAAAATTACATCAGTCCATAACGAATCTATTAAGAAAAAGAGCACCTAATTAAGACAGTTTAGCACATTTTTCCATCTTTCCCGTGTACCACGCTCTCACTCCCCTGTAATCTCTTCAAACTTCTAGGATGTCCGAGGAATTTAAGATTAAGATTGATTTCATATGACTGCCATGGCTCTAGGCGCTGTCTCTGTTCTGCTTCTGACTAGCATGTGACTGTGGGTAATGCTTGCTGGCCTCCAGGATACAGAATATGCTGTTGCCTGATGGATCTAAAAGGGAATATTAGGTGTGTGAAGATAGTGAAGAAGAAAGGGACTCTTTAGGCAATGAAGAAACCACTCAAGCTGTTGGTGTTGATGTCCTGTCAGGTACCTTCCCATGGTATGCTGGTGGCATGTCCTCATGCAGCACAGATGAAGTAGGCCCTTGGTCTCTCAGGCTGTGAAGTATGTTGTTTGGTCTCGCCTTGTCTCACTTCAGGGGTTCTGGGCCATAGCAGGAAGCAAGCTCAGCTAACAGTGGTCCTGGAACTGGGAGAGACCCACACACAGGCCCAGAAAGTCTGGGCAGTCAGAAAAAATAAAGGGTGCCTTAGTCTAAAATAGTTTAGTGAATCCAAATGTTCATAGAAAAAAGTTCATGGAAGAAAAGTTTTCTGACATGGCATTTAAGGCAGCCCTCATCAGCCTGAATGTGGCCACCTTTTTCAGCTTCATCCTTCCAAACACACGGAATTCCAGTCCTGCTGGATGCAGTGTGTCCTCTGACACCTAGAGTGTCCTGCGCCTGGAGCACTGTGCTATTTTTTGTGTCATAAACACCACCTCCATGGGACTCTTCCCGTGATGGCCTAGTCGAAGTGATTATTCCTTCTTCTCTCTTCTGTGGCACAGTGTTGCTGGGAAGTGCTACCCTTTAGTATTCATTATTTTGTTTTTGTGTTACCTTACTTGTTTGCATGCCTTTCTTCTTAATGAGAGCTTGCTCTGACTTGAGCTTAGTCACCTTGAACCCATGGACTGTTTTGTGTCCCCGTCTGTTTGTCTCTTGAAACATGATACAATCCCAGTACAATTTAGTAAGTGCTCAGAAGTATTTGTCTAGGAAAGTTCTGATGCCCTATAACTCTTGTGGATTTTATTCTTACTTTTCACCTTTTTTAGGGAGAAAGAAGAGGTGGCAAGTCAACCCCCAGAAGAAGACAGGTTCCACGAGCTCAAAGTAGCCACAGCAGCAGCAATGTAAGTGTGAATGAGCAAGCTTTACGGTGAAGGGGCATAAGACTTTCTGGTCTCATCAGTAATGGTCTTGCGAATTGGTAAAAGGTGACACTGTTAATGTTCTCTGGTTTGTCATCTTGCCGAGATAATTGTTATTTTAAGAATTGAAAAGTAACGTTTATTCCAGATGAGCGTATCATATTGGTTGGGTTTATTTAGCCTGAAATAATTTCTTTTTAAGAATACACACGAAACATAAATTTCATAACTTGTCTATTTTATATAGGACCGAGCTGCAGGACCCTCTGGTTTTATTTGAACCCGGGGCTCTGAGAATGGTTTTACAGGAGTGGCTTTCACAATTGGAAAAAACGCTTGCCATGAAGGACGATTCAGATGTTGCTGATACTGGCAGCTCATCCGTGACAGTGGACCAGGATGTGCTGTTGCCTGATGAGTCACAAAAGGGAGTGGTGGATGAAGACACTGAGAAAGAACAAAGGGACTCTCTGGGCGATGAAGAACCTGTGGACCAAGCAGCGTGTGAGTCTGTGAGTGGTCTGGAGGAGCCACAGGATAATTTTTTTCAAATATGTTCTCCCTGCCCCATAGCAAATGGTCTTCAGAAAGACCTGGCTGAGTTGACGACTTTGTGTTTGGAAATGAATGTATTGAGTTCTAAGATCAGAAGCCCAAGTGAGCATGTGGATCACAGACTGCAGCAGGGCTCTCCTGAAGATACTCTGGCTTGCCAGTTCCTGAGGAAGTATTTTTTCCTCCTGGACTTGAAAAGAGCAAAGGAGGTCGTCAAGCTTAGCTATGGAAACACCCCTCGTGTTTGGGATACTTTTATTGCAGGTTTGAAAGGTAATGACCAGAATGCCGTATCAAGGGTAGATTTGGGTGTAGAGGGAGTAGCTTTTGGGAAGTCTGGGGCTTAACACAAGATTTAAGTAGAAAATTACCTCTGTTTTGGTCGACTGTCCATTCTGTTTTCCATTCATTTTAACTTTTAATAATATAATTTTAATAATAATATAAATTTTAATAATATAATAATTAATATTAATTTGCAACTGTATTGTAAGAGAATTTTATTTCCATCACAATCACATTCAGAAAATGATGTAGCAATATTGGAGAAATAGGGGTTAAAGTAAAACGTTGATAAGTGCAGATAAATAAGAACAAGAAAATCCCTCATGTAACTTCCTAAGACAGAAATTATAGGTCATCCCTTAGTATCCATAGTGGGTTGGTTCCAGGACTGTCGCTAGATCTGGAGACTAAGTATTTACAAATATCGAGTACTAGAGTGTGCCAGCTATGGTGGTAAATACTTTTCAGGTATCATTTCATTCCGTCCTTGTAATGTTCTTCAGAGTGGATGATATTATTCCATTTTATAGGTGAAGAAACTGAAACACTTCAAGATAATAACAGCTGAGTTGGCTGCACTGTAATGTTCATATGGTAATAACTCAGATATAGGTTTACTTCTCACTCATATTTTAACAGCCCATATACAGGTGTCCCAAGTCAATGGCAGCTCCCTGCCATGTGGTAGGTTGTTTAGCATTCCATGTTCTTTCCATTATGTTAAGCTCTGTCCTTCCTTTGGGTTTGGGGTTGAGATTGGGCTGCTGTGCCCAGGGGAAAGCATGTAGAACACGCTGTCTTAGAGGCCTCCGTCTCTTCCCTTCACATTCCAGTGGTGAAAAGTCTATCACAATGCCACCAACTGCAAAGGGAACCAGGAGATGTGAATCTATCTAGGTGCCCAGGAGGAAGAGAATGAATGTGTATAGAGTTTCATGTCTGCCTTAGATACCTCAGTGCACAGCCAGCTGTGTCTACCTTAGACTTGACTGAAGGTCACAGAGCCATTCTGCTACAAAAACCAGCTTTCATACTCTAAACATCATGCACTGCCCTTTCTACTGCTGTAGTCCCATGTTTCTGAAGAGGCAAAGTTTCTTTCCTTTTTTCAAAAAATTTATTTATTTGAAAGGCAGAGCATCAGAGAGAGTGGGAGAGAAAGATATCCTCCCTCTGCTGTTTTACTCCCCAGAAGGCCTCAACAGCCAGGGTTGGGCCAGACTGAAGCCAGGAGCCAGAAACTCCATCCAGGTCTCCGGTGTGGGTGTAAGGGGCTCAAGCACTTGGGCCATCATCTGCCATCTTTACAGGTGCATTAACAGGAAACTGGATTGGAGGTGGAACAGCTGGGACTCAACCAGCAGTCTGATATAGAATGCTGGCATTGTGAGCATCGGCTTAACCTGCTGTGCCACAATGCCGGCTCCAAGGTGAATTTTCTTAGTTCAAAATTCTGCTAAAGTAGATGATGACATGTTTCTAATCATCGATTTGGACTTAGGCAGGTTTTTGCTCATTATTAAAAGCACATAGCTGGGGAACCTCCAGGCAGTGGCACCTGTTGTCAAGTGCAGGCTCCTCCCTTTCCCACCCACTTCCCCGGAGCCTCCATGTGGCTCTTTTCCTGCCCACTGAGATGGCGCTCACCCCCGCAGAGCAGCATCTCAGACATGTCGAAAAAGACGTTTTGATCCCTGAAGTAATGAGAGAGGAGGCCAAAGAGAAGTGTTCTGAACAAGTTCAAGATTTTACCAAATGTTGCAAGGAATCTAGAATCCTTATGGTAGTAAAATGTCGGAAGGAAAATTCTGCATTGAAAGAATATCTTACTGCCTACCATAGTGATCCAGCCTTTGGTGAAGGATGCAGAATGGAATACCTGAAGGAAAGGGAAGAATTCAGAAAAAGCGGAATTCCTACTAAGAAAAGACTAAAGAAACTTCCCACCAGCACGTAGAAAATATTCCAGTGACATTCAGAGACTGGAATATCTGTGAAAGTCATTTACAATGTAAATCGCCTCGCATAATGGACTCAGCATAAAAATTTTTTATCCTAATTATGAAAAATATTACCTAAAATACAGATCTTTATTTCAAAGTTCTGATTTATTAAATGAGATAGAAGTAAAAAAAACCCTGCATAGCCACAAGTAGAGATAAATTTTCATGTTATCTGACTTATGTATAGTTTCTTTTCCTTTTTTTTTTTAAGATTTATTTATTTATTTGAAAGACAGAGTTACACAGAGAAGGAGAGGCAGAGAGAGAGGTCTTCCATCTGCTGATTCACTCTCCAATTGGCTGCAACAACCAGAGCAGAGCCAATCTGAAGCCAGGGGCTTCTTCTGGGTCCCCCACGCAGGTGCAGGGGCCCAAGGACTTGGGCCATCTTCTGCTTTCCCAGACCATAGCAGAGAGCTTGATCGGAAGTCGAGCAGCCAGGACTTGAACCATGGATGCCAGCACTGCAGCGACAGCTTTACCCACTAAGCCACAGCCCCGGCGCCTGTAGAGTTTCACTTCTGCTTCAGTTCACATGCAGCAGATAAGTGCCTAAGAAATGATTTCTGGGGGGCTGGCGCCATGGCTCACTTGGTTAATCCTCCACCTGTGGCATCGGCATCCCATATGGGTGCCGGGTTCTAGTCCTGGCTGCTCCTCTTCCAGTCCAGCTCTCTGCTGTGGCCCAGGAGGGCAGTGGAGGATGGCCCAAGTGCTTGGGTCCGTCCCTGCACCCGCATGGGAGAACAGGAGGAAGCACCTGGCTCCTGGCTTCGGATCGGTGCAGCACCAGCCATGGCGGCCATTTGGGGAGTGAACCAATGGAAGGAAGACCTTTCTCTCTCTCTCTCACTGTCTATAACTACCTGTCAAAAAAAAAAAAAAAAAAAAGCAAGTCAAGAAATGATTTTTGGTTTCTTTTTTCTGTGTTGTGGTAGATTTATTGTAATGTAAGATAAGAAGCAAGTCACTGCTCTTCAGATGTGTTCAATTGTGTGACATTACATACTTGGAAATGTGTCTTATTGCTATTATAAGATCATACCCAACCCTGGTCACAGGAGAATAGCAGAAGAGTCTCCATCAGCCTCAGTGGTGGTTGTTGTTTATACCCAAGCTGCCTGGAGCAGGTGTGGTGGGCATTTTTGAGATGATGTAACCACTCACTTGATTTAGGTCTAGCTTAGAGCCCACCCAGTCCTTAAGTTTCCCTTTACTTCTTCTGCTCTAAATGAGGCTTTCCTCCTGAATTTCTTAGGTACTTAACTGCCTGAAACAATTAAACGAGAAACAGTGAGACTGGAACCAAAAATGACTTTAGGGAAGTTTATTTATTTTTATTTATGTAAAGGTAAAGCAACGTGGAGGGGGGTGTGTGGAATTTTCCACCCACTGGTTCACTCCCCAGCTGGGGCTGAGCTAGGCCAAAACTAGGAACTCTGGTTCTTCCATGTGGGTGGCAGCTGTTGTGCCCTTTTCAGAGAGTGAACCAGCAAATGGAAGACTCTCTGCCTCTTCCTCTCCCTCTGCATTTCTGACTTTAAAATAAATAAATAAACTCAATTTTTTCTTAACGATTTTATTTATTTATTTGAGAGAGTTACAGAGAGAGGAAGAGACAGAGAGAAAGATCTTCCATCCACTGATTCACTCCCCAATTGGCCACAATAGCTAGAGCTAGGCTGATCTGAAGCCAGGAGCCAGGAGCTTCTTCCCAGGCTCCCACATGGGTCCAGGGGCCCAAGGACTTAGGCCATCTTCCATTGCTTTCTCAGGCCATAAGCAAAGAGCTGGATTGGAAGAGGAGCAGCTGGGATTCAAACCAGTTGCATATGTGATGCTGGCACCACAGGCAGAGGCCTAGCCTGCTATGCCACGGCACTGACCCCAATAAATAAATCTTTAAAAAAAAAAAAAAAGTGAAGTAGGCAGGACCCAAACCAGGTACTTTCATATGGGATGTTGATGTCTTAAGCAGTGGCCTAACCCACTAAACCACAATGCCCACACCAGTGATGTTTTTAGAAACAAATATATCAGAAAGCAAAGGTTAGATTTTAGAACCTTTTGTTGAAAATAACTTTTGGAACTGAACTTTGAGATTCAAGAACTAATTAAAAACTACTTGGACCAAAAACTCATTTTACTTTAGATTCTTTAAAAATAAAACATACACACACACAAATAGTATTAGCTAGATCCTCACTAACTTTATTTGGCAGGCTTGGTTTTAAAAGATTTTTGACTTTCCCCCTAAATCAGATCATTCTTCAAGGGATGGATATTTGCTAGACTGATTTTTTTTTAAAAATATGTATTTATTTATTTGAAAGTCAGAGGTACAGAGAGAGAGAGGAGAGGCAGAGAGAGAGAGAGAGAGAAAGGTCTTCCGTCCTATGGTTCACTCTCCAGATGGCCACAATGGCTGGAGCTGCACCGATCCGAAGCCAGGAGCCAGGAGCTTCTTCCAGGTCTCCCATGTGGGTGCAGGGGTCCAAGGACTTGGGTCATTTTCTACTGCTTTCCCAGGCCATAGCAGAGAGCTGGATTGGAAGAGGAGCAGCCAGGACTAGAACTGGCACCCATATGGGATCCCAGTGCTTCAGGCCAGGGCATTAACCCAGTGTGCCACAGTGCCGGCCCCTAGACTGATGTTTTTAATAAAATTAATTTCGTTGAGTATAATTACTTTTTTTAAAGATTTACTTATTTGGTAAGGCAGAGTTACAGAAAGAGAGGGTAAGAGAGAGAGAGAGAGAGAGAGAGAGAGATCTTCTGTCCTCTGGTTTACTCCCCAAATGGCTGCAACAGCTGAGGATAGACCAGGCCAAGCCAGGAGCCAAGAGCTTCATTCAGGAGTCCCACATGGTTGCAAGAGCCCAAGGACTTGGGCCATCCTCTGCTGCTTTCCCAGGTGCATTAGCAGGGAGCTAGATTGGAAGTGGAGCATCCATGACTTGAACTTGCACCCATATGGGATACTGGCGTTGCAGGCGGTGGCTTAACCTGTTTATCACAACACCAACCCCAATAAATTAGATTCTAAAAGAATATTGGTACTAGTCTAGGAATAATTGAATTGACATTATATATATAAGCTATATATTATGTATAAGCTATACTGTATATATACTGTATTATTTGACATATATAAGATATATATATAAGCTATACTGTGTATATATGTGTGTGTGTGTATATATATATATATATATATAGCCCCAGGTACTCATTTTTTTCAAGGATAATATAATAGTCACTGTGTATTTGTTATCTGTTCCTTCGTTTTGTTTAAAACTTTCCATATGCTTTGCCTCTCAATTTGTTTTTAAGGTCCTTAAAAGTAGAAATTACGTGTCTTTTTTTTATGGTTTGTCCTATAACACTTAAGAAACATTAGGCCTTGCACATAATAGGTGGATACAGTAAGTCTGACTGATGATAACATTGTTAAATGAATGTGTTTATGAGTTGAATATTTGCAAGTTAGAGATGAAGAGGAAAGGATGTGTTTTATCTTCTAGAAATGGCGAGTTCCAATTCTACATACAGGGAGATGGAAGAAGGAGATCTCCCAACAAGACTAAAGTTATTAGATGACTCGGTTCCTTGTGACAGTCCTTTGTTGATTGCCTATGCTTCCCGGTAGGTTGAACTAAATGTTGTTTATATGAACTAAATATGTTTATGTGAACTAACTAACGTACAGGCATTGTTTTTGTGTCTTAGTCCCCAAAGTTTCACTCATTTGCATATTGGGCAGCTTCTTGTTAGTATATTTATTTGCATTTCTAATAAACATTGAAATTGGAGACTAAAGTGTTTTGTTTTGTTTTTTTGCTTTTAAATGCAGGTTGTATGAGAAGTTTGGAGAATCTGCCCTTCGATCCTTGATCAGGTTTTACCCATCCATTTTGCCTTCAGATATCATGCAACTGTGTCACCATCATCCAGCTCAGTTTTTGGCCTATTTAGACAGTCTGGTGAAATCAAGGCCCGAAGATCAGCGGTGAGAAGAAGTGCATGCTTGCTAACTCCTCTTTCTTTTGACAGGGCATTGGGGCTCTTATAAGCAGGTGTGATGTTTTTCCTGTTGACTACCTTTTTGTGGACAATATCTGAACTTTTTGCAGGTTGTTCTTATTTCCAGTTCTTCTCTTTTTAGACTAATGCTTCATTTCCTATCTCCCCATGTCCCTGTAAACACCCACGTTCTTTTTGTTATTTTAGACTGGTGACTCCCTCCTTTCTGCTTTCTCTGATAACAGCATATGTGCCACAGGGGTTTTTCTTTCTCTTTTTTGTTTTGTTTTTGTGAATCCTTTGGCATTTCATTACCTTTTTTTTATTTATTTTTTATTTTTTTGACAGGCAGAGTGGACAGGTGAGAGAGAGAGAGAGAAAGGTCTTCCTTTACTGTTGGTTCACCCTCCAATGGCCACTGAGGCTGGCGCACCACGTTGATCGGATGGCAGGAGCCAGGTGCTTCTCCTGGTCTTCCATGCAGGTGCAGGGCCCAAGGACTTGGGCCATCCTCCACTGCACTCCCAGGCCATAGCAGAGAGCTGGACTGGAAGAGGGGCAACCAGGACAGAATCCGGCGCCCTGACTGGGACTAGAACCTGGTGTGCCAGTGCCGCAGGCAGAGGATTAACCTATTGAGCCACGGTGCCAGCCTGGCATCTCCTTATCTTAAGGCTCAGCTATTCATTTAGAAGACTGTTATTTTCACCAGCATTTCTATACATTTGCAGCAGGAGAGTTTTCAAGTTCTTCCATCTGTTGTATTGAACTCTAAATTTTATTCATCCCTCCGACATTTAAAAAATTATTCATTTATTTATTTGAAAGGCAGAGAGACAGCCAACTGGGCAGACAGAGCTCCTATCCACTGGTTCACTTTCTGAGTGCCCACCATGGCTAGGGTTGAGCCAGGCTGGAGACAGGAACTCAATCCAGGTCTCCCACATGGGTTACAGAGACCCAATTGCTTGAGCTATCACCTTCTACATCCCAGCATGTGAATTAGTAGGAAACTGAAGTTGACAGTGGAGCCAGCCCACAAACCCAGGCACTCCAATATGGAACGGGAGCATCGCAACCAGGGTCTTAACTGCTAGGTCAAACTCTTGCCCCCGCATCCCTGTATTTTATGTTTCCTTTCTTAGCATGAAGATTGGTGACCTTTCTCTCCAACTTTCTCTTAGGTCATTCTTCCTTGAGTCCCTTCTGCAACCAGAGTCTTTAAGATTGGATTGGCTGCTCTTGGCAGTGTCCCACAATGCTCCACCAAGCACAAGTACCATGGATGATGAAGGATACCCCAGGTATGGAAAGAGTCCTCTTCCTAAGGACTAAGCTCCAAAGTTCCTTTGGAGTGGAGACAGTTTATTCACATACGGCACTCAGGGGTTACTTTCGGAATAGCTATGAAAAAGACTGACTAAGTTGTGGTGGTGGTATCTAGAGTGTACTTCTTAGTGGTTGTGAATATTTGGGTCACGGACCTTATAAGATTCCTTTTAGAAGAGTACACATTAATGCAGCTTTGCATATGACTTGAGAGATGATTAAAATGACCCTTGAAGCTCTTTCATGAACCCACAGGGAGAAAAGTGTGTGTGTGTGTGTGTGTGTGTGTGTGTGTGTGTGTGTGTACGTGCACGTGCGCACCAAAAATTTGTCAAGGAATTTCTGTACACAACCAACCTGCTTTAGAATTTACAAAAAAAAAAAAAAAAAAAAATGAAGAATTTCACAAAAACAGGTGCTGGCACTTGTATGAGAAATGTTCCTTGTGTTTCCCTCCAGGAAAACCTTTGTAGAAGCCCTGTAAATGCCTGCCTTGTATGCCCAGGCACAGGCCTGGGAGGATATACAGTGGCTCTTTGTGAATGATGGGTTATAGGCTTCTCTTTCTTTTGCTCTCAGTTGTCTAAAACACCTGACTTTAGAAATGATTAGGTTATAAAATGCTTTAAAGATATGACAGTGGAATATTATCTCTGTTCTTATTAGATGCCTAGTAGGCACTTTCTGGAGCTTCTTTCACCCCTAACTTACTGCTGTTTTTTCATTTCACAGGCCTCATTCACACTTGTTTTCCTGGGGTTATAGTCAGCTAATCCTTCTTCTAATCAAACTTCCTGCAGATTTTACAACCAAAGAAAAAATGATTGAAATTTGTAGGTCTTGTGGGTAAGTAAGGATTTTTATAGAAGCTGAAGTTGAAGTAGAATCATTTCAGTTAATGTCCTGGCAGTTAAAGGGCCTGAATTGATGTGCTTTATCATTTGGGAATTCTCTTTGCTACATTAAAATAAATATAGCTTTTTGTTTTAACTGACAGAAAAATAAACATCTGTTTCCTTTTAAATTTTGCACATGTTTTTGGTGTGGGAGAAGCTGACCCTTGCTAATTCCTCCCAATGCTCTCTGCCTAGTAGCTCGCCACAGTTCTCAGACCTGTGGATGGTGTTTAATTAAGCAGCAGTTATGGTTGATGTGGGATTTCTGGGATGAGATTGATCAGAATGGGCTCAGTAGAATTGCTGGGGAAGGGCTCAGGGAGAAGATGAGACTTTGGAGGTAACCCCTGGAGGCTGGGCAGGATTTCTGTCCATAAAGGAGCCAGGAAGAGGGGGATCAGGGGGGAGAAACAGGACGAGCAAGGGCCTGAAAAACTGGTGTTGCTTATTACACACCTCGCACGTGAGTCAGTTATTGATTGCCTGGCAATGTCTGATGGCTCCTCTTGGATTATAATCCTTTGTAGAGAGGGATGTGTGTCTGTTGTTTTTTATCTTAGAGTCTAATTTGTGCAGTGGGAGGCACTAGATACATACTTGTTCATTAATAATGAGAGAGAACATTGGTTAGGTGATGGGTGATGAGATCATACTGCATCTTGACAGCTGGTCCAAAGAATTTAGTTATCAGTGGAGACCCTTTTGAACTCTTTGGTGTGAAAATTACATAATGAAAGTGAAAGTTGCTAAAGTCTTTTCTAAAAAAGTCTGGAGAAAGGAAGGCCAGCTAGGAAGCTGTTGCAGTAAGTAGTTCAGGTGTAAGTGAATTGGTGACTGGCAGAACAGCAAAAGGAGCACACGCAAGAGATAGTTCAAAGGAAAATACAGTGGGATTTGTTGATACTGGCTATGACAGATGAAGGCAGGGAAGCATCAAAAAAGAGAACTCCCATGGTTTGCATATTTGGAGAAGAAATATGCTACTTTGGTATTGAATCTTAAAGTTTATGAAGTATATAAAGCTTAAAAGTGCCTCAGGATTGGTACTTGGTTTCAAATGTCAGTATTTATCATTAGCTTTTGTTATTTTCTTAAATGCCTTAGATCTGTTATCAAATAAAACATTCTGTGACATTGGAAATGTTCTGCACTGTCCAGTATAATAGCCACCAGCCACATGTGGCTACTGAGTCATTTTTTGTTTTTTGTTTTGTTTAAAGACTTATTTATTTATTTGAATGTCAGTTACACAGAGAGAGAAGGAGAGGCAGAGAGAGAGAGAGAGGTCTCCCACGTGCTGGTTCATTCCCCAAATGGCCACAACAGCTGGAGCTGGGTCACCCGAAGCCAGGAGCCAGGAGCTTCCTCCAGGTCTCCCCCATGGGTGCAGGGACATCGGCCATCTTCTGCTGCTTTCCCAGGCCATAGCTGAAAGCTTGATTGGAAGTGGAGCAGCTGGGACTCGAACTGGCACCCATATGGGGCTGGAACCAGTGCCCATATGGGATGCCAGCATTGCAGGTGGCAGCTCCACCCACTACACCACAGTGCCAGCCTCAGCCATTAAGTCCTTAAAATATGGATATACCAACTGAAAAACTAACTTTCACATTTTATAAACTTTTAAATTCAGCATAAAAAGTGACATGTGGCTGGTGTCTACCATATTGGACCGTGCAGCTCCAGATAAATTCACTGCCTTTTATTCCTTTCTTCAACTTTGATTTCTTGAAAGTTTCTGGCCTGGATATCTTACTCTCTGTTTGGAGCTGGAGAGAAGACGAGAGGCCTTCACCAACATTGTGTGTCTGAATGATATGAGCCTGATGGAAGGGGACAATGGTATGTGAATCCCACTGCTTACTTTTGGCTGTAGTATTTTACAAGTCACTCCAGACTTTTCAGTAAAGAAATATAGTGGGGGCTGGTGCTGTGGTGTAGTGGGTAAAGCCGCTGCCTGCAGTGTCGGCATCCCATGTGGGTGCCAGTTCGAGTGCCGGCTGCTCCACTTCTGATACAGCTGTCTGCTATGGCCTGGGAAAGCAGTGGAAGATGGCCCAAGTCCTTGGGCCCCTGCACCCACGTGGGAGACCCAGAGGAGGCTTCTGGCTCCTGGCTTTGGATCAGTGCAACTCTGGCCATTGCAGCCATCTGGGGAATGAACCAGTGGATGGAAGACCTCTCTCTGTCTCACTCCGCCTCTGCCTCTCTGTAACTCTGCCTTTCAAATAAATAAATAAATCTTTAAAAAAATATATATAGTGAACAGT